GAGAGCGAGCAGAGAGAGAGAGCAAGCAGAGAGAGCGAGCAGAGAGAGAGAGAGAGCAAGCAGAGAGAGCAAGCAGAGAGAGAGAGCGAGCAGAGAGAGAGCGAGCAGAGAGAGAGCGAGCAGAGAGAGAGGCGCAGAGGGAGAGGCGCAGAGAGAATCTTAAGCAGACTCCACACCCAGCATGGGGCCCAATGTGGGGCTCAATCTCACGACCCTGAGATCACAACCTGAGCTGAAATCAAGAGTCGGATGCTCAACTGACTGAGCCACCCAGGCGCCCGAAGAGTCCCCAACTTTTAAACGCAGCTTCTCAAAACTCTGATTTGCTACTAGAAGGGAAGCGGGCAGATCTGGGCAATGCAATCACAGAACTTTTCTTCCAACAGTTGACAGCCTAATTATAGTTACCGATCATGCAACATAGTTTTAAAACCAGTTCCACTTTTTCTTTTTATTATTTTATCTTTGTCTAGGTAACAGCCCAGACTTGTGAAAATATTATAGGCTTTTAGAATCAGATAGAATCAGCCGTAGTTCAAATACTGATTTATGAGTCACACTGTCTGGATTATTTAACCTTTCTCAATGGACATAATGAAACAACCCCAATGTTAATCATGGGAGATTAAGTGAGATGATATTTCATTCTTTCGTCATCAGCACTGGGTGCACTGTATACGCATACGAAAACGCACAGATAGTCACATATGCACACTCCAGTAGGTCCAGACGCACCTGGCTGAGAGCTAACAAGGACAGCTCCCAAGGACATTCACTCCTACACACCAGCTGCTATTCTAAGCACCGTGCCTCGATCAGCTCACTGAAATACAACAGAACTCCGGGGTGGGGACATTTAGTATCTTAACTTTACAGGGGACACAAATGGAGAAATTGCAGTTTAAAAAGTCTTTAAAGGTGTAAAGAAGAGATGTCTAAGGAATGCATTTGAGATAGCACTGGGGTGCGGTACCCTTGGCTCAATAGAGTAAGAGGAGCATGAAGGGCTCACTAACCCTTCTTGCTTCTCCCTTATTTCTAACTAATGGTCTTGCCAGAGGCAAAAATATAAAATAAGGCAAAACCCTCATTAGGTTGCTTCAGCAGCCAATGCCATCATCATCGTCATCATCATTATCATTATCTATGTGCCAATAAAAAGACATTTAGAATTGCCGGTTCTTTGTTCATCCCTGATACCCTATAAAACCTAAAGCACAAAATATACAGCACACTCTTTATGTTGACTTTTTACTAAATATTTGCTTTTCTAATTATAAGAGGATCAAAATTATAACCCATGCTTCCTTCAATTTACCTAGTTTTTACTTAGTATTCATACACCTGTAACATCTTGGCAGCCAAGCATTGTAAAGGCTTTAATTTTCCCCAAGCCTGAAATAGGCACGGTAAAATCTATAGCTTTCTCCTACACCTCCTTCTGTATATAAGGTGTATTTCTCATTACGGCCTAATTTAGCTGGAATTATAATCTATCTCTGCATCATCTTCCCTAATGATAGGTAAACACGGAATAATAAGATGATCAAGAAAAGGCCAACCATCAATTTGGAAAGTGGAGTCTCACTGGGCAGGAACAGACTTTAAATGACCCCTGTGGGGCACTCTCTCTAGGTTTTTCTTGGCATTCAGTTCCACCTGGTTTCCTTTCACATTTCTAACATAAAAGTGGGCTCCACCGTATTTTTCCCTTCAGTATGATTATTCCACAAATATTTTAAATGTACTTTAAGTCCAGCAAGTACTTATGAAATCAGCAGGTGTAGGGTCCTTTAAAAATTCTACTTTGGAATTTTTTTTTCAATAGCCATTAAAAATCTAGCAGATAGCTCATGGTATAAAACAGCACTGTATAAATTTTCTAAAAAATAAGCTAGTCTATTTATGATGATTAGAAATCTCAAATTAGGCATGTAAGAGGATATCTAATTTATATTCCTCCTAATGCATTTCCTATAAGGTACATTGTTTTATCCTATGCAAGGGTAATATTCTCTCTTTATTTTGTCTTTCCCTCTCTCTGGCCATGTCATCAACACTCCTGCCTCAGCACATAACATGTTTCCTTGTCTGGACCCTAAACTCAACACCCATAAACCTGAATAAACATGAAAGTTGCCTCAGACACCTATTCAAGACACAGACACCAGCATCAAAGGGATGTTAAAAACACCTGGCCTTGAAATTGTATTACTTTATACATTTATTGCTGAAATTTCATAAGCAAGTTCTGTTTAACAGAATTTGTGAACCAGGAATGTTTTGTTTATACATGAAGGATGCAAAGCCAGTCTTTATCGGGGAAATTGTAAATCCATTTTATAAGTTAAAACTGGCTGATAGTTATGTATCACTATATGGAACTGTCCGTGGAGTAAAAAACATATAGAAAAAATCTGAGGATCCTGCAGGATATTGCCATGCATTTTGTGTGTGTGTGTGGGGGGGTCCTAGCTTATCTCAAAGGAAAGGAAACTTGATGTCTGTGAAATCCATATTTTTAAACCTTGAAGCTGTTGTTGTATCCTCAGAAAACACCACATTTCTTCTTTTCTCAAAACCTGATGCGTATATTTAACTTACGGATTCCCTTGCTTTTCCAAGGAAGACTCTATTTATCTGCTTATCACTCTCATTCAGTTGTAAGAGTTCAGGGCCAGAACAACATGACTACTTTAGGCCAAGAAAGCTAACCCAGCAAATCAGGGGTTCATAGAGGAAGGGGATTGGTCGTCGCTGAGATTAGTGCAGCAGAGTCCCAGCCTGGAGAAAGGAACGCACTGGCAAATTCAGGCCAATCCCTCTACTTCCTGGAAATGACTGAGTGTAACAGTGACAAACTTATTGTAGTGTCTCTCTGGTTTAGATCAGACTTTTGGCTACCTCTATCATAAATTATATAACAATAAATTATAAGGAAGTTGAAGGTAATTTATAAGAACTCATTTTGTACAAGGTAAATCCCTCCCATATACCACACAGTGAATGTTCACCCCACCGAAGGGACTCCCTAAAATATTTAGCACCGGCTGCATGTTATACATAATGGAACTACAGAACATGTTTCTCTAAAGGAAAGACACCTTAATGAAAACACCCTCTGGGATAATAAGATGAAACTACAATGTTTCTTTCCAAGTCTTCTTATGTGTAGATCATACTATAACACGAAGGAGCAGTCTAAATGGATTAGTAAAGAGAAAATAAAAGCCTACAGTTCACTACTATTTATATTAAAAGCACTTTCTGTCCTTTATATAAAAAAAAACCCATGTACACCAACTTTGTGTAATCCATGTGAAATTACGAAAAGTTACAGAGTAATTCATTAGGTAGATATGAGGCTGAATCACTCAAGAGACTGCTCTGATTTTAGTAAGAAATTCATTAGGAGTTCAACAAATCAGACCCAAAAAATGGTGATGGGTAACTATTTTCAAAGTTCTTCCACTATTTAGCTCGGAAAATTAAAGTGCTTCCACTAAAAACCACCGGTCATTTGGTAATAGCTAGAATATTTACAAGTATTCCTTCAGAATTAGAGGGACCTACCTTATTTGACAATGCAGTGCAAAAACACTGATTAATCATCATTTAACTGATAATGCAATGCATATTTTAACATAACTTATTTCTTCTTATTAACTGTCAAAAGAAAATTCTTAGTTTATATTGGAATCCTGTTCTCTAAGAAAGACTAATTATGTTGTGAAAAGTTGCCTAGAGCTCAGCAATTTAATTCTGTAATAATAATGAACTTGAAGAATTAGCTCTACAGCCTTTTGCCTTAGCGAGCAATATTATGATTCACTTACCTATAGTATGTCAATACTATAAACTGACTCATAATGGAAATTTACTCATTAAACAGAAATACCTATATTC